GCCCAGCCTGTACCGGAGGGCATCAGCAAAAAGCTGTGGTCTTTAATTTCGGCAATGCATCAGGATGAGGTCACGGGTGTTGTCAAAGCAGAAAAGGGGATTCTGAGACTCGGAGAGCACCTGTACTTAAAACACGGGCATGATAAGACAAAGCATGATTACATTAGGCAGAAAATGAGAGAAGTCGGTAGGTTAATTAACGAAGCAAAAACCGCAGGGAAACTGAAAACAATTAAGGATTTCTTTATTCCTTCCAACTTTAACCATGTGATTGATGCAGTCAGGTCTGTGGCTGGATATGATGAGGAAACAAATCAATACAAGACTCCATCCTTGGCCCTCAAACTCGGCCATAGCCTCAGAAAGCTAGCAGATATTCTTGAATGTGACTCAAAAATGGAGCATTGTGTTGATGAACTATTTATTAAAAACCTCCAACGAAGCCGGCTGCTTTTTGAGAAGAGGTGGGACGTCTGTGTTTCTTCTGCTGCCCTACAGACCCTCCGGCAAGCCAAGTAGAACACTCGACCTGCTCCCTCTGACTGAGGACGTTAGAGCCATGCATGCACATATTGAGGTATGTCGACCTGAATATGTGCAAACCCTAATAAGTGAGCCAACGTCTAAGCATTGGTCTAAACTGGCAGTTTTGACTCTTTGTGAGGTCATCATTTTCAATCGAAGAAGGGAAGGTGAGGTTTCAAAGATGCCACTGACAGCCTTTACCTTAAGAAGTAAGACTGGGATCCATTCTGACATTGCTCTGGGACTGTCCCAACTTGAGAAAAAGCTGTGTCAGCATTTTCAACGCATTGAAATTAAAGGGAAAAGAAGTCGGAAAGTGCCGGTTCTTTTGACTCCTGAAATGATTGCTTCGATGGAGGTGCTGGTGGAGAACAGAAGGGCCTGTTCCATCTCTGACCATAACCCATACTTCTTTTCCCGCCCGGGCGCAGACACCCACATCAGGGGATCAGACTCCCTACGCCAGGTAGCCAAAGAATGTGGTGCGGTGCATCCAGAGATGCTATCCTCAACCAAACTTAGAAAGCACATAGCTACTATGTCTACAGTTCTCAATATGAAAGAGAATGAGATGGACATACTTGCCAACTTCCTCGGCCATGACATTCGCATCCACAGGCAATATTACAGACTACCAGAGGGGACACTGGAGCTGGCCAAAATCAGCAAAGTGTTGATGGCCATGGAGCAGGGAAGAGTGACGGAATTCGAAGGAAAGAGCCTCGACCAGATACAAATTGAGCCTGAAGGTAATTCTTGATATTATTAAAATATGTATGATTTTTTTCCCCTAAAGGCCACTTGTATTTTTATTTTCTGTGCGACAGGGAGAGCAGTAGAGATCCTCTCACAAACGGACGGGCTAAAAGAAACTTCAAGCGGAGAACCTTCAACCATTCATCCAGATGCACCCCATGGTAGTGGCAGTGCCCCTTCTGGTAAGTGTACCAGGTGGGGGATTACAGCCAGGCTGCTTGGTCCTCACCCTGGGAGTGTATATTGCTAATATATTTTTATTTCTCTCCCTAGAACGTGTAAGAAAGCCATGGTCTGCATCTGAGGTGAAGGCTGTGGAGAAGACCATGACACCTTTCATACAGACTGGAAAGGTCCCTGGGAAGTCTCACTGCCTGGCCTGCATTAATGCCTCACCAGATGACCTTAGACATCGGACATGGAGTGGCATTAAATTCTATGTCAAAAATAGAATCACTGCAATTCGAAAACAAAATCTAAAATAAAATTCCTTTAAAATAGTTGTTTGGTTTCTATTGACTGTTTTGTATTACTTAAAGTCTTGGTAAAAAAAGATTATGTCTATGGGTCCCATTCTGAACGGCCCTGTCAAAGGGACCCACCAGGTAACAAAAACGTGTATGTGTGTGTATGTGTGTGTGTCTGTACAGTATGTGTGTGTGTCTGTATGTGTGTAAGTGTGTGTGTCTGTATGTGTGTGTGTGTCTGTATGTGTGTAAGTGTGTGTGTATGTGTGTCTGTGTGTGTGTGTGTGTGTCTGTAGTGTGTGTGTCTGTATGTGTGTAAGTGTGTGTGTCTGTATGTGTGTAAGTGTGTGTGTCTGTATGTGTGTGTAAGTGTGTGTGTCTGTATGTGTGTAAGTGTGTATGTGTGTGTGTGTGTCTGTACAGTATGTGTGTGTCTGTATGTGTGTAAGTGTGTGTGTCTATATGTGTGTAAGTGTGTATGTGTGTGTGTGTGTCTGTACAGTATGTGTGTGTCTGTATGTGTGTAAGTGTGTGTGTCTGTATGTGTGTATGTGTGTCTGTGTGTGTGTCTGTATGTGTGTGTGTCTGAGTGTGTGTGTGTGTACAGGACCTTTTGCCCAATGCTTATTGAATGACCTGCAGCTCACATTTCTTTATTTTACTTATTTATTTCAGGGACAGTTCATATTAATAACATTTCTGTGTTGAGTCAAAATCCCCAGAATTTTTAGAAATTTTCCAATCTATTTCATGTTTTCTTGTTCGGGGTTAACCTATTATTGTGTGCTTTTGTGTGCATTACATTGTGTACTCTAAAGAAAAATAAAATGTTTTAAAATAAATTACAGCCTTGAACCAAACGTCGTATGAACCCAGCTCCTGAACGAACGATCACCGGTAAAACAACAACAATTGAAAAAGTCCATGTGATTAAACTGACAATGTTAAACTAATATGGGACTCATTACACGCAAAGTCAGATATATATTTGATTTAATAATTATGGTTTACTGTTTGTAAGAAAACACAAATAAAGCCTCTTGGACTGAAAACCCAAATCATCAAAACAATAACATTAACAACACTCTCTCCTCATAAATCTTTTCCTCAACAGAAAAATCTCTACTTTCTCAAATGACCCAAACCAAAAACAAAGCCAGCAGCGTCTCCTTCACCCATCCCAAACATCTCATCAAAAAGACCCCAGTGATTCCTCTGCGTCCTCCAGACTCGTCCTCCACCACTTTGTGAACGAAGGAGCAGCCACAGCCCCTGGGATCGAGACCTCTCTGGCCTTTTCAGATTCATCCCCGTTGGGCTGGACACAACAAAATGTCTACAACTTATTCCGGAGCATGGCGTGGCGGCGGGCTGAATAAACATGGCCGAGGCTGAGGTGACCGGTGGCCCCTGATTTGCAAAAGTCAGTGGTCCGAGGCCGATGTGACGGGAGCGGAGAGGGCTGCGATCACACACTCACCTCAGTAAATGTAGCTGCCGCATGTGCACACAGGGGTCGGAGCCACGAGAAGAAGGAGCAATACCTTTTATTTGGACTGTTTTCTATAGATTTTGGACGTACGTGAGGAGACATGGACACGGTCTATTCTGCGATACACTAAAAACTGCTTCATGTTTGTGTGAAAAAGCCCGTCTCGTCAGATCAATTCAACCTAAATTCTCTTAGGGACTGACTTTGCAAATCAGCGTTGGCTATAAACAGAGATGGGAATAACGGCGTTACTAGTAACGGCGTTACTAACGCCGTTACTTTTTTCAGTAACGAGTAATCTAACTAATTACTTTGACTGTAACTATAACGGCGTTATCATTTCCGACATCCCGTTACTGCGCGTTACTCAAGACGCACAATGAACTTCTCTTTTTACTTCGTGATAGGACTCGTGCGCGTGTTGTCATGAGAGAAGGGAGGATGAGAAAACCTCTCAGATGTTATTGGCTGATGTAAAACATATTTCCTTTACAATCTACATGTCTACAGTTGAGAGGATTGCTCATAAATTGTGTTTTTGAAACAAATATGGGTCTTAATCACACTCTACCACGGCTTGTATCACCGTGAGGCCTCAGAGGAGCTCATGTGAGCGCAGAAGTCGGCTGCATACAATTCCATCGATAAGGTCCTTTCTCCTCCTGGTTTATCTGCTAAAGACAGCAACAGGTTTGGCTAACATACATATAACATATTTAAGATAATTTAAAATGCACTTAGGGTAATTTTTCAATGACTATAGGAATGATAAGAAAGAGAGGTGAAGTGTAAGACGGTTGATTTTAGAAATTGGATGCACCCGGCTGCAGCAAAACAGAGGAGTTTACGGAGGACACACGCATTTTGTTTTGCTTTTTAAAACTCATTGGACTCATTTCCAAATGGAGGATTACGTATCTACGCTCAAACTATTATCTGGACTTAAACATGGAACTGGTCTGAACCGAAGTGGCCTGTGCAGGTCATTTATAAAGCCTTGTTCCAGCTTCTTCCCTCTGGCAGAAGATACTGTTCTCTGAGATGCAGGACATCTCGTTACGCTAATAGTTTTTTTCCACGAGCTGTTATCAGTTTGAATAGAGCACTTTAATGTTTTTGCACTCGTATAGATCTGTTTTAAGTTGGTCAACTTCACAGTGACATTTGTTTACTGTTTTTAAAATGTGTTTTATTTTTGTCTTTTAATGTTGTTTTGTGTCAGTACTTGTCCTGTGCACACTGGGAACTTTTACTAATGTATTCCAATGTAGTGTTACTGCAAATGGCGAATAAAATGAATCTGAATCTGATTCCTGTCTGTCCACTCCCTCAAAATGGGCCTCCAGTGGTCTTAAATACAGAATCTTAATTTCTACAACACACACGTGAGACACACATGTAGCGTTCTCTACAGACTGTTTGTGGGTCATAAGTCTAAGTCTGAGTCTGCAGGAGCGAAGCCTCCCCAGACGCCTCCTCAGGGGTCAGCAGTATTATGTCTGGAAACTTAATATTCTCCCAGAGCAGATGTAACCTTTAGCACATTCTTTACATGTTGATGCTTCTTAACTTAACCTTTTTCTCACTTTACTACTTAAAGGATGCAACGCTGTCTCTTTTCCAGACAATATATATATTAAAAAATCCCGCGATGAGGCCGTAAATCAAACCCCGCTCAGAGAGAACTTTGAACGCTGTCCAGGATCCAGGTCTCCTCCGCAGCTGCTGGGCATGTCGGAGAGTTGGGACGTATGGATCTCTCAGTCTGTCTTCTCCTCTGGTGTCGGGCCTCTCCACCTGGCCTCCTGGTGCTTTGCTTTCTGGTTGTTTTGACAGAGTTCCAGGCTGTGTTCCAGGTTGTGTTTCGACAGTGGGGTGGATGGAGGTGAGGGAGAGGGCGCCCAGCAGCTGCTCACCTGGGCTGACTCCACACCTGTGAGAGCGCCGCAGACTGGGACAGAGGCTGATGCAACCACCTGCTAACAGGGCTAACAGGGCTAACAGGGCTAACGGGGCTAACAGGGCTAACGGGGCTAACGGGGCTAACGGGGCGCACATGTAAACTGGGGTTTGACTCAGCTGCTGTTTTTTTTAAAAGTCACTGTAGGTCTACTTTCTTTTGCTTTATCTGTAGCTGGGTCCTAATGTCCCAATGTCCCAGCTCAGAAACATTTGTCAATATTTATGTTTCTGTCTAGAGCTCTGAGTGTCTATGCATGTGTATGTATATAATAATCGGAATTAGAGGTTAAAATTTAATATGTGCTAATCATTGTCAAAATGTGTCGATCATTAACATATATTTTAGGGTCAAAAATGAATATACAGAATTATACAGTGAGGACTTGTGTCTATTGTATGTTATTGTTGTGTATACTGTGAGGCGATCATCAAACTTGGAAAGGTTTTGCTTTGCCTTGAGATCCCAGAAAGGTGCCACATAAATAAAATGTATTATTATCACGGTTTACAAAACACTGTCAAGATGATCATTTGAATTTGTAAAGAAAAAAATCTAAATTTCTTTCCAACTCCGGCTGTATTTTGATCATGTATTGTTACTTCCTGGTTGTATTTAATGACGTCACCAAAGGGATGTTACCAACTCGGGTCAAAACTCTCCCCATGAAAAGTCAAATAACTTTTAACACGGATAAAATTAACCTTGAGTTTCCAGAAAGACACTTGAGAAATAAAAATCTATAATTAATATTATTAATATTCTGGGATTTACTGGGGTACATCGGTTTAAAAGCTAAAGAGGGTAAAAAAAGATTATTTCCACGCTTAAAATAGACATTTTTGAAAAGGAAACGGCGAGAAGACGGCGGCCATTTTGTGTCCACCGTGACGTCACAAAACAGAGCAACTCCTTTAAGTGGAACCAGTGGGACTTCTGAAAGAGAAGCTTTTTATCAGCCGAGAGAGAGAGAGAGAGACAGAGAGAGAGAGCAGAGAGAGAGTGAGAGGGAGAGAGAGAGAGACAAACAGAGAGAGAGAGAGACAAACAGAGAGAGAGAGAGGGAGAGACAAACAGAGAGAGAGAGACAGAGAGAGACAAACAGAAAGAGAGAGAGAGAGACAGAGAGTAAGACCGAGACAGAGAGCAGAGAGAGAGAGAGACAGAGAGTAAGAGCGAGACAGAGAGAAAGAGAGACAGAGAGTAAGATAGAGCCAGAGAGAAAGAGATAGAGGGAGACAGAGAGAGAGAGGGAGAGACAGAGAGAGAGAGAGTAAGAGAGAGACACAGAGAGAGAGAGAAAGAGAGAGAGTAAAAGAGAGAGAGAGAGAGTAAGAGCGAGAGAGAGAAAGAGAGAGAGTAAGAGAGAGAGAGAGAGAGAGAGAGAGACAGAGAGTAAGATAGAGACAGAGAGAAAGAGATAGAGACAGAGAGAGAGCGAAAGAGAGAGAGTAAGAGAGAGAGAGAGAGACAGAGAGAGAGGGAGAAAAAGAGACAGATAGTAAGAGACAGAGAAAGAGATAAAGTCAGAGACAGAGAAACAGAGACAGAGAGAGAGAGATCAACTGCATGTTCTCCCAGTGTCTGTGTAGGTTTTCTCCGGGTGATACGGTTTCCAAAACAACTAAAAACATGCGCAGTAGTTCAGGGTGAATGAGTGTGTGTTTGTGAGTGTGAGTGTGGTACAACGGATGCAAATTACCATGTTTCATGTGTTCATTAACATGCACTGTCCTATCGGGAAAAAAACATGAAAATAATAATAATAATAATAATAACACAAACTATTATATGGCAGGTTTGTTGCTGTTACTGAATGTCCTGGGCGCTGTACTACAACGACCACTGCTCCTGACAGAAGCTGAAGTGCATCATTCTGGGTCAAATGCAGCGGACAGATTTCCCTACAGGGACACCACACATTTACTAACAAATAATCATCTTGGAAACATGTGTACACTTTATTTTAGAAGAAGAAGAAGGTCCTTTATTCGTCCCACAACGGGGACATTTGATACATACACACATATACACATACACACATACATATACACATATAAACATACATATACACATACATATACACATACATATACACATACACATACATATACACATACATACACACATGCATATACACATACAGTACATACATACATATACACATACACATACATATACACACATACACATACATACATATACACATATACAAATACGTATACACACATACACATACATACACACATACATATACACATACACACATACATATACATATACACATACACATACACACATACATACACACACACATATACACATACACACATACATATACACATACATATACACATACATACACACATACATATACACACATACATACACACATACATACAGTATACACATACGTATACACATACACACATACATATACACATACATATACACACATACATACACACATACATACAGTATACACATACGTATACACATACACACATACATATACACATACACATACACACATATACATATACACATACATATACACATACATACACACATACATATACACGTATACATACACACATACGTATACACATATACATACACATATACATATACCCCTACATATACACATACATACACACATATATATACACATATACATACACATACATACACACATACACATACATATACACATACATACACACATACACATATACACATACATACACACATACACACATCAAGGCAAGCAGCCAACATCCCTTCCGCGCTCCTTACAGGCAAAGTGGGTTAAGTGTCTTGCCCAAGGACACAACGACAGCAGTCATCAGTGGGAGTCAGTGGAGAAGGTCTCATGGTGGACTTTATCACCATTTCCTTGATTAATGTCTGCTTTCCCAAAGGCCCTCCAACAGAAACAGAATTCTCGAACGCGAACGCAGCCTATAGCCATGAGTAAAGTTGACGGTTAAAATGATTTGGCTGAAACGACAACAATGGCCCATGGGAAGTCAAACAGCTTCTGCAACCACGGGATGTTCAGGAATCTCTCCCGTGTCGTCTACCAGCTCCTGTGTGCACCTGTCCAGCCAGGCCCTGCTCCTAATAACCTCTGTAACGCGCGCGTGTGTGTGTGTGTGTGTGTGTGCCAGTGCTAAATAATGCATGGCCCTGCTCTGGACAGCCCTTTGATAAAGTGCAGCTCGGCAGCACATGCATAAGCAGCTCCAGCCATATGCACAAAGGGGAAATTGATGGTGGAGATTAAGTCTGGGCCACTGTAGTGCGTCTGCGGAGGGTGTCCATACCAAGACTTCAGGATATGCATTGCTGTAAATTATTGGCGATTCTCACTCAGGTTTACTTCACCATTTGTGTGTGTGTGTGTGTGTGTGTGTGTGTGGACAGGAGTTGATCGAGTTCTCGAAATGGATTAAAGGGGACATATCATGAAAAATCCACTTTTTATGCCTTAAATGCCTTATGTTGTGTAGTTGGAGCCTCTAGAAGTGCAAAAAAGTTGAAATCAGTCTCTTCATGGGTTGCAGAGAACACTTCATATTCTGTAAGATTTTTCAAACCGTTCTGATTTTGCCATTCTCTATTACGTGTTTAGAATTATTACGTCACAGTATTTGCAGCGAGACTGCCATATAAGGGCATGGGCGTCTAACAAAACACTTCGGCCCAGCCCTCCTCCACTGTGCATCACTTCGAATTTGTAGTCCAAGCTCAAGGATGCCAGCGAACAGGGCTGGACTGGCCATCGGGCGTACCGGGCAATGCCCAAAGGGCCGATGCCCATATTTGGGCCGGTCTGTCTGCCTCATACAAAGCACATGTTTATGAGAAGTGTAAATCCGTTGAGAATTGTTCGAGCGGGGCGCGCGTATCCGCGGGGCACCTGCTGTATGTACTCGAACGGGATTCTGCCACCTCAGCGGCCGCAGTGTTCCGGGGCATCTGCGGCCGCTTTGTAATGAGCAGCTTCCTATGATCCAGCGGCTGCGAGAGGCTGTGAGCGTCCAGCCGCTCGCAGACGCTCCACCGTGTTGTGGCTGAGCGCGCAGCCTCAACGTGGCCATGTACCCAACCCCATAAACGCGCACAGGACCATGCGTGTCTTTGAGTAATCTGTGCACCCAATAAATACACTGCTGCAGGAAACAGTCTGCGTCTCCCCTCTCCTCTTGAAGCGCGATTAAAAGCCCTAAATAAAGCTCTGATACCTACATTTTGCATTGCATTAAAGGTTGATGTTTGAGCCCAAAAGTAATATGTTGTGAACAAATTAAACAGATTTAAAGCCAGCAAATGGCTGACAATATGCATTTCAGTCTTATTTGACCAATTCTCATCCCTGTAACAAACAATAGTGTTGTCTGTGTCCACCTCCCTCACTCTGAGACATGTTTATTACTCTCTTGTAATATAGACTATTGCATTTTATTTTATTGTTGAAACTGCACATATCCTGATCCTCTACAGTATTTGCTTCAGCATACTGTATGCGTCTCTTTCCTTCTGTAGAAGGAAAAACGTTCTTAACGTTTTTAAATGCTGTAAAATTGTGCATAAGTAATATTCAATGTAAACATTTCTGTCAACGTAGTGCGTCATATCCTGCGACGTAGGCCCGCACCAGGCGGCCGCTGTTGTAAACAAACCGGCGTGTGAGCATCATAGACTGTGCGCATGGATCCCAAAGCTAAAAAGAGAAGAGTCGATAATAAGACTGGACTAAGAATGAAACTTAACATTTGCTTTCAGTCAATGAGGAAGGACTGCTTCATGTTTGCGATGTAATGAGAAGTTTTTATGAGATAATTGTATCTGTGCTTAGAAACTACAAAATTGGCCGCTCGGGGTGGAGTTGAACCTGTGTCACCTGCATGGGGGCGTGGTCAAAAGCGCCTCATTTGCATTTAAAGACACAGCACCAAAACAGGTTGCTCTCAGACGCACCTCAGGACAGGTGTAGAAGAAAGGCCCGTGGAGCTACAAATAATGAGACTCAGACCCAGGCATTGCAGTTACGCTTTATATAGGCCACAAATTAATGATTTAGATGTAAAAATCAATTATAAACATGATATGTCCACTTTAAATGTAGTGCAGCAAAGTGGAGTGGTATCATGTGTGTGTGTTTTCTGTAAAAGGTAAACAAAAGAATCCTGGTCCTCGGATGCAGATATCAGCAGTGGTTTGAATCTGGCCGGTCACACCCTGATGTCAGCTCCCTGCCTTTGTGTCTAAGAATAATTCATTTATATGGCAACTATCACAGACCAGAGTCGCAATGTGCGTCACACGCTGCAACAAGTGGTGAAAAATAAGTCAAAAATTGCTCGTATTTGGCAAAATGTATCTTACTCTGAGCACATTCTGACTGAGCCTTAAAACAAGATTTTCCACCAAGCAAAATTATCTTGTTTTAAAAAGATACACACAATGTCTCCTTTGGAATGAGAAAATAAGGCAACGTTCTTGATATACAGAATAAGACGTAATTGTTTTGTTCTAATGGAGGATCTTGCCCCAAAACAGTCAGAATTTGCCCAAATCAAGGTAAAAAACATTTGATTCAAGCAATTATTAACCCATATTTCATTTTTGTTTTGTTTTTGATTGGGCATTTGTCTTTCAATCCACACACAGATGGGAGCAAGGTCACCTACATGAGGCGCGTGCCAGATCTATTGAACATGTTTTTAGTGGTAGGGGAAACCGAAGCACCCAGAGGAAACCTACACGGACATGAGGAGAACATGCAAACTCGACACAGCGCAAACCACTGCACCACCGTACTAACCTTATTCTTTGACATTTAGACAACTGGGTCCATCCACATGTGTTTAGTTGTTCCATGACGACATGTGTGAACATCTATTAGGCAAGGCAAGTTTATTTGTATAGCACAATTCATACACAAGGCAACTCAAAGTGCTGAACAAGAAAGCATTAAAATCATAAATAATCACAGAACATTAAAAAGAAAGATAAAAATATAAAATCCCTCAGTTGTAGCACAGCTAAACAGAACTGTCTTTAACCTGGTTTTAAACATTGTCAGAGAGGAGGCCTGTCTCACATCTTCAGGAAGATTGTTCCAGATTTTAGCAGCATGAATCTGAAAAGCAGCCTCCACATGTTTAGTTCTGACTCTGGGCACTAACAGGAGTCCAGTCCCTGTGCTCCTCAGAGTCCCAGCAGGAGTCCAGTCCCTGTGCTCCTCAGAGTCCCAGCAGGAGTCCAGTCCCTGTGCTCCTCAGAGTCCCAGCAGGAGTCCAGTCCCTGTGCTCCTCAGAGTCCGGGCTGGTTCATATGGGACTAACATGTCACTGATATATTTTGGTGCGAGGCCATGGAGAGACTTGTAACAAGCAGAGCTGTTTTAAAGTCTATTCTCTGAGCCACAGGAATAGTGCTCCTATTGTCTGCGTGCATATTGATAACTTTCCATATAAATTTATGATCACGTGTTTTTTCTTGACTACTACAAGTATGTATGTATGTAAGTATATATGTATGTATGTATGTACCTGCGAATATTCCCTCAGAGGTGCAGCATAAGTGGGAGCGGCTGTCAGTCAAAGTCCAGGAGGTGAGAGGCTCGGTCTGTGGCACCTCCTTCACCTCCATCACCTCCTTCACCTCCATCACCTCCATCACCTCCTTCACCTCCATCACCTCCTTCACCTCCATCACCTCCATCACCTCCTTCACCTCCATCACCTCCTCACATGCAGATCTGGAACCAGGAACAGAACAAAGTCTTTCACAAACGAGCTGCAGAGATGTGTCGTTCTCTTTGGCCGGACGTGACCCAAGACCCTGCAATTACAACATCCACTGGGATTGTTTCGACCTGCCAGGCTCAGATGAAACCGAGAAGTTAAAAAATGTTCTCGGTATTAGAAAAAAGGAAAGAAAAAAAACATTTCTGGGTCGGGGGGTGGCAGTCAGAGCTACAACAGTCCCCCACTGATCCTCCTGCGGGTGCTGAGTCCACAGGAGCCTGCTCTAGTCTGAGCTGCCGTGATCTTTCAGTGGGGGCTTCAGGCAAAGAGGGGTTAGGTGTCTTGCCCAAGGACACAATGACAGCAGACATCAGTGGGAGATGGTGGGATCGAGCCCACAGCCTTCAGGCTCAAAGGCCAATGTTCTACCACCTGAGCCACTGTCGCACATTTGAATTCTTCTTCTCTGGATATTTCTTTCACTTAATGTTGTGTTTGCAGGAGCAGTAAATGTGTGAATGGAAAATGGGGTGGAATTAAACAAGTTCTCTTCTTCCAATTCTCTTTCAGTCAAATGGATTTTGATGTTTTGCTACAGAAAATGTAAATGTCTAAAGTCCTGGATAATCACCACTGAACAAACTGCATTAGTCCTGACTAGAACCAGGAAGTACGACCACATTAGTCCTGACTAGAACCAGGAAGTACGACCACATTAGTCCTGACTAGAACCAGGAAGTACGACCACATTAGTCCTGACTAGAACCAGGAAGTACGACCACATTAGTCCTGACTAGAACCAGGAAGTACGACCACATTAGTCCAGTTCTCAGGTCTCTGCACTGGCTTCCTGTGGCTCAGAGAATAGACTTTAAAGCAGCTCTGCTTGTTACAAGTCTCTCCATGGCCTCGCACCAAAATATATTAGTGACATGTTAGTCCCATATGAACCAGCCCGGACTCTGAGGAGCACAGGGACTGGACTCCTGTTGGGACTCTGAGGAGCACAGGGACTGGACTCCTGCTGGGACTCTGAGGAGCACAGGGACTGGACTCCTGCTGGGACTCTGAGGAGCACAGGGACTGGACTCCTGCTGGGACTCTGAGGAGCACAGGGACTGGACTCCTGTTGGGACTCTGAGGAGCACAGGGACTGGACTCCTGCTGGGACTCTGAGGAGCACAGGGACTGGACTCCTGCTGGGACTCTGAGGAGCACAGGGACTGGACTCCTGCTGGGACTCTGAGGAGCACAGGGACTGGACTCCTGTTAGTGCCCAGAGTCAGAACTAAACATGTGGAGGCTGCTTTTCAGATTCATGCTGCTAAAATCTGGAACAATCTTCCTGAAGATGTGAGACAGGCCTCCTCTCTGACAATGTTTAAAACCAGGTTAAAGACAGTTCTGTTTAGCTGTGCATACAACTGAGGGATTTTATATTTGTATCTTTCTTTTTAATGTGCTGTGATTATTTATGATTTCAATGCTTTCTTATTTTGTTCAGCACTTTGAGTTGCCTTGTGTATGAATTGTGCTATATAAATAAACGTGCCTTGCCTTACGTCAATAGATCCTTCCTCCCCACAGTAGGATTGAGGAGCACAAAGCACAAGATAAATTAACAATAACTCAATACTCACCAAAATTAGCTTTAGCATTTCTAGCATTGGGGCAGAAATCATACAGGAATCTGTCAATACACAATTTTACACTTTTCCCTCACACACATCTACCGGTATATCAGTCCTTACACAGACCTGTCCATTCTCCATCATTAGCCTGTCACACTGTCTATACCAGCACCTCACCCCCTCACCTTCCTCGCCCAGTCACACGGAGCACCCCTCTTCTGTACAGGAAGAGAGCCAGAGAGCCCCATCTCTTTTTGTTGCAGCTTTAATTTACTTTGTGCATTAATAATTCAGGGCCCTCTGCAGGCTCGGTGGGCTCCTGTGTGTGTGGGGGGATTAATATTTTAGCGGACCTTATTGGAGACGCCTGTATAGACTTCACTGAGCCACCACACTTTTCATTTACAGGATATATATGTTTTTATTTTTACTTATATATTAAAACACATCTTAAAATCATGAGTTCACACTGCAAAAGATGACAGAATTAAAGACCAAAAAATGCTAAAATTTGGCTAAATGTATCTAAATTTGAGCACATTTTGACTGCCTTAAAACAAGAATTGCCAGTGGAACAAGAAAAATGGTCTTGTTTTAAAAAGATACAAGATATTTCTCTCTTGGAATGAGAAAATAAAGCAATAGTTGTTGAATCAAGTCAAAATTGCTTGTCTCATTGGCAAATCTCATTTTAAGACAGTCAGAATGAACTTAAGTCAAGTTAAAAAAACTCGATTCTAGCAATTATCATCTCATATTTGATTTTTTTGCAGTGCACCGTTCATAATCATAACAAAATTATCCGGGTTTTTTTATTATTACAGGTAGAATGTTGCCTCCTTGTCATAACTTTTCTCTTCCGGATCAAACTATGAACTTCAAAATGCATATGTCTTGTTGCATTATTCAAAACACACACATGGCAACCACCGGTGATAAAAGCCAGTATCTGTACTCACACAATGATTCATCTCCGTGTTAAAAGGAAAACACTATCTGTACTTATTTTATAGTTTTCTGTGGCAAAACATTTTTATCTAATTTATCTAATAACAAAAACAACAGTATATATGTCGTCTGTCTTGATTTTACAAAATGGCCGTCTGAGGGTGAAGTCAAGTCAATCTACCATTTTAATGTCATGTAAACTTAGATTAAGATCTGTTTTAGAGTCAGTTGCAGTAAAACCACATTGGAATAAATGTGTGAAAGATCCCAAGTGTGCACCAGCCACATATATAAATAAATAAATACATTTCTGTCCAATGCCTCATGGCCAGGACCCCCGTAAAGAGGTCATTTTTTTGGTTAATTAAACATTATACCAGAAGAACAAATCTTGATTGTTCCATTCTTTTATGGATCTCTTAAAAGACTTATAATGTTTTAATTAGTAACGTTGACCTCGTAATTACAGCAGTATTCACCAGTCAGTAATCTCCCACTTGATATTATGGTTATCTCAAGATTGAGGCAAAAATACCCAAGTCTCACAGATGGCAAACGTGTTGAAAATTGCGTCAAAACGGTAAAGCAAACAAATCCAGCGTACCATATTGGCCACGTGGAAAATGCTCAGGAGAGACTGCTGCTTTGTCGGGATTTAAAACTTGTAAATGCTATGAAAAGTCTGATTGTGGCACTTTAACTGTGGAACAACAATAAATAATATCTTCTGCAGGCCTCCGCATCATTTGTAATATTCTTTTAGACACTAACCAGAGTAAACCGGTGACACCAGAGTCTAAGAATCCTCCGTGTCGTGTGAAACAAGCCAAGCACCAACCCCTCCGCTGCAAAGTAACACAAACATATGGAGGGTTTTAGCAGAAATGAAGAGGGAGTCAGTGATAGGTCCAAACCCAGGAGTACGTGTGAGTATGGGAGAGGTGTAGGCCCCAATCTCCAGCTCTAATGCTCTGTGACTGCGCGACATATCCCCAGGTCCCAAACTCACTCAAATTAAAAGGTGACTTGAATGTCTTTATTACCGATATTAAAGCTACGGAAATACAACAAGCCGGCTATATAATAATGAAGTCGAATTATCTGTGACAGGTGCATTTGATGGAAAAAAATTGCAGACAAACTCTGACCTCCAAACAAATGTGTTCTGATATACAAGAGAAAATGTAGCATGCAGTCAATTTGGCCAAGTTGGAATTGGATTTTGAAGTTGGGAGAGGATGATGAGGATGTAGGGGCAGCTTTTATCACAGATCAGTGGCTCTCTGAGCGGGGGTCTCCCGGTCGCTGCATCAGGGGCGCCTGGCAGGAGGCCATATTGAAATGAGGTGCCTTCCCCCGGGCTCTTAGCCACCCCTGACATTTGGATGTGAGTGCATGTGTGTGTGTGTGTGTGTGTGTGGTGCAGGGCGGGGGCGCGTGTGTTTCCGTCCTGAGAGCCGATTGCCTCCGCTCCCCTGCTACTCGCTTCTATCCCTGCCCGTCGTCGCCCTTCTTCAATTGGGCCCCGTTTCTCATTTGCCTATTCATTTAAAAGCACAAAATGCCTACTGAGATCCAATATGGGGCTGAGGCAGGGGGGCGCGAGTGGGCCCTCAGCGGGGGGCCAAAACACAGCGACAACACGATGAGGACGGGGACGAGACGGAGGATGCCCGGACCTCCGACGGGCCCTGCCTTTAAATGGCTTCTTCTCTTGTGTGCTTTGTTTTTCCCAGCTGATGCTCTGCTCACTGGGTAGTGCTGAGATGGGGAAGTGCAGCCCGCTTGACCCGGCGCCATGCCCAGACGGGGGTCCCCACTAAACACTCTTCATGTATGTGTCTGTTTTTAAAGAAAGAACCTCCCTCTGTCCACCTCTGCCATTACTTCACGCCTCCTCCTCTTCAACAAGACCTCTGAGGATCCAAAAAATGCCTAAAAGCAAAGACCCCCCCCACTCCCCCTCCCAACTTCTAAAACTTCTTTCATTGGCCTCAGAAGTCCACAGAAATGGGACTTTGTATAAATGCTGAAGGGAGCCGTGGTTAGCCGCAGTAGCAGTAGCACCGTCTGACATGTTTTATGCATGGACAGCGGGTCTTACAGGTCACAGAGTTTCACATCAACAAAGTGCAGAGGGCGGACCGATGCGAGAGGTGTGCTGCGGGGGGGGGGGGGTTCACGGAGAGAGGAGAGAAAGACAATGTGGAGATTTAAAAGAGGGCTAAGAAAATAAGTATCATGTATAAGTGACATTGAGAAATACAAACCAGAATTTTCGCTTTTCAAATTCTAAAGGCAAAACTATGCAACTTTTTGTGATCTCCCCGAAGCTTTGGGGAAGATAGAAAATTAAACACATGCCATGCCTTAGTGCAGAAGATTATAGCTAGAGGCTCACCACTGCCTTGGAATAGAGCCGGGGCCGAGATACAACACGGCTCGCAGTAAGGACACGATTTGATAATTATATTTCATTGCGATTTTTCATTAGTGTATTTTTATTTTCCCGTCCCATTCTACGCACAAGGAAGATGCAACAAGCCATATCCACCACCATTTGACAGACATCTTATTATGAACACACCGACTTCTCCAAGTGGTTTTGAACCCAGCCAAAAGACATCCAACATAGCCTTTATGAGGGGGAGCAGCGACTCTACCACAAGCTTCTGCTGCATCCATATCTGTTGATCTGTTTCTTTCTCAGAGTGAAAGATTCTCCTGTTAGCAGTATTTTTATCCCACAACATAATAAACTTGGCGTACGTAAAGTTCCAAAGACTAACATATTCTTAATGAGAAAGAGCAGCAACTCTACTACAAGCTCCTTCTCATACACCTGTGGAACTGTTTCTTGATCAATATGACCCGAAATCACCTGAATTTCTTCTACAGGGATCGAGAAAGTATCCATCTATCTATCTATGATTCTTTCACAACCTCATGAGCCCAGTGTGTAGAAAGATGTCCTGGATCATCACCACTGTCCTTCGGCAAGAAACAACAACAACAAAACACTTCATTCAATTCAATTCAATGTATTCTTGTATAGCCCTAAATCATAACAGTAGTTTTCTCAGAGGACTTTACAAAACCGACACAGATCAGAGAATCCATCCATCTTCTTCCCCGTCAGAGCACCAGCCCCTCACTGATCCTCCTGCAGGTGCTAGGTCCACAGGAGGCTGCTCCGTCAGTGAGAGCATAGCTTTTATCTTTCATTGGGGGCTACAGGCAAAGTGGGGTTAAGTGTCTTGCCTGTGGTCTCATGGTGGCACGAACCCAAGCTCAGGCTCAAAGGCCAATGCTCTACCAACTGAGCCACTGTCGCCCCAGAGCAAAGAATCAAACACACATAAGTACTGGTCCAAAGAGAGTTTGACCAACGCCCATGAATGTTGTGGAATGGTCCCGGATCATCACCACACACATTTTTGTTAGACCCACTCACAGCCTCAAAAAAAAGAAGATCTTCCACTTGTGTTTCCACCTCCAGCAGCTGCCAGTCTATGATTGTATGTGTAAATAATGACATTAAGCAGGTGCTTGCGTTGGGCTGGGAGCAGAGCGGGAGCAGACTGTGATGCTTTTATTACATGCCTCCAATGCTGATTAGTTACAAAGATGAGAGAGTCGGCTGCTGTGGATTAATCACAGGCGTTTACACTGAGCGGTGGTTAGCGCGAGGAAGATATTAAACAGGGAGCCGCAGCTAAATGGAAGGGGACCTGAGCATTGAATCAACAGTTATCAGCAGATGTTCAGCAGATCTGTTCTTGTGTTTCTGCCAAACTTTCACTGAGTAATCGCTTGGCTGCTACACTTCTCTCGCTTATTAACACATTAAATCAAGGTAAATCTAATGCAATGATACAGATGTGAATGGAAAACGAGAAGGGTTTGTCCTGAACGGAAACACACATAATTCGGTGAAGTTTTAATTGTTTTGATCGTGGAATAATGTTGATATTCAGAATATTGTCAGATCTGTGAATATATATGAGTTTTAAAGGCATATTCAATTCCAGCAACATCCCCATGAACTCATAATTTTCAATAATAATTCTGTTTCATCTGTGGTTTAATTCTCATGTCATTATGATACATATAAAGTTCATTCATTCATTCATTTTCAACCCCTTTATTAGTCCATTTCTGGGTCGGGGGGGTGGCAATGAGAGCTGCGACCCAATGCTCAAAGCACCAGTCCCTCTGATCCTCTTGGTGCAGCCTTGTTCTTTCAGCGGGGGCTTCAGGCAACGTGGGGTTAAGTGTCGTGCTCAAGGACACAACGACAGTAGGCTTTTGTGGGAGCAGTTGAGTAGGTCCCATGGTGGGCTCGAACCCACAATCATGCTCATAAAAAGTGACTTTGTAAAAGTCGGAAACAGTGAACAAATACAACAAAGAAATCCCTTCGGTATTTGATGTGTATTTAAAGGGGCTGTATGTTTTATGGACTCAGAGCAGATAAAGTCATTCCAATTATAATCTTAGAATCTTCTTCCTGTGACACATGTAGCTAAGCACCGATTACTGATGCAATCCACCTGCATGAGTTCAGCAAGAAACGGTACAAAAAAATCCCAAAACCCCAAAGATAACAGCCATAACAAGCTAATTGTCACTTAACAAACTGGAAAACCAAACGAGTTATTCTGCTTGATGACTGTAAACATAAATGTCATGGACACTCAGACAGACGTGTCCAGCAGCAACACAAAAACATCCAAAAAAACAACAAAATGCATAAATCATTCTAAAAATAGCGAACAATAGTAGTTTAATAAAAAAAAAATATCTTCCCATGTTCATAGACATGATTTTCCACCATGAATCACAGCCTCTTTAATGGAATATCAAAAGCTGCAGGCCGTGTGCGCACAGTGTAAAGGTACTCTCCAACCGAAACCAAGAGCGCTCTCCAAACCCATCCAAAGAACACAAAAAAGCAACACACAATTCCATCTCATTCATGTAATTACACAAAGACACATCCGCAGCAGCACATACATCCGTGCTTCACTCCCTCCACTAATTGCATGTTAAACGACGCACTTAAAAACTCAGAAAAAGTTCAAAGCACGACTACATCCACTACATCCGTGTTTATAGTCTATGTAAATATTTAAAGCGAAAATGGTAGCGCTGTGTTTCAAAGTGGTATTGTCCCAAAACACTGCAATCAGGCAGAGATCTCACATATGCAAAGGAGGCAAGCGCGGACGCCACTTTCCCGTTTGACAGAGCACCTTTCCGGGGGTGAATACATTACGGGAGCGATGGAATAAGAGCAAATGAATGCCGGCTCACTCCTCCAGCGTCACAGCGGCACGGAAAACACCAATACATCCCCATTACATTTTCATCACACCTGCACAAAACAATAGCACAGCACCCCCCGCCCTCCGGAAAGAGGGCCGCGCTGATCCAACTGGGTTTTAGTTTACGGATTCAGAGGGTAGTTTTTGTGTGCGGACTTTCGTTTTATGCTAAAATTGTGCGATGTGTCGCTTAGAAAAAGAGAAAAATATGGGTGTATGTTTGGTGTATTTGTTAACATACTTTACATGGATATAAACATACATGTATACTAACATACACGTATATAAACATACACATGTCAACAAATTGTGATTTTTTTTCACCCTTTAATTTTTTTTTCAAGCATTTGGTGGATCAAACTGGACCTTTTGATCCAGTTTGAAACCACACAAAAAAACCATGTCATTAAAAGTTCCTAGTTCTCAAATCTGTTTAGTTTTACCTGTGTTTTCATGTGTTTTGGCCTCTGTCACATCTTTAGATCAGCTGAGAGGACCAGCCTCGCTCAGCCAATCAGCTATCAGCCCAAAGAGTCAGATAGTGACCGGCAAAGTGTCATTTCACTAGATCATAATAACAACAATAATAATAATAATGCATTTTCTGGACACTCAAAGACACTTCATATAATTGTTGATTCACATCATGCACGGTGGTGATAAACTACTACTATAGTCACAGCTGCCCTGGGGCACACTGACAGAAGCGAGGCAACCAGTCGGTGCCATCGGTGTCTCCGACCACCACCACCAACCATTCACACACACACCAGACTCATTCTAATGTGGGGGAAGTGTCTTGACTAACCACAATTTGGCACTTAACAGCCGCAGCTGCCCCACTGTGGCACCTGGTGTTCCCAGAGGTCTCCCATCTCAGTACTAACCAGACCCTACCCTGCTTAACTTGACAGAATTTGGATTGAGCATGCAAGTTTCAGCCATTTGCATGTTGTGGTCTGATGTTGTCATTCCTTGGTCGTCTGGATCCCTATGATGGACCAATGGCTTCTATGGGTTTGTTGGTATCGCATTTCCTGTGTCTCTGTTGTTAGTGAATCGACAACTTCGTAAAGTGGGAAACACATTGAATTGAACAGAACTGAAAAAAAGTCAGATTCTTTAGTTTTTCTCTGAGTTACAAACTGCTGGACACAAAAGTTGATCATCAGGAAATCAGATGATAAAGTCTGAATATTTAAAACCAGATTTCCAAACAGCATCACATGACACTTTTTATTTATTTATTTGTGTAATTACTTTTTGGTAAGCTAGTGAAGTACGACTGTATAATGGGAAAGTAATTGCCACAACTTCAAATGATGTGATAAATTAACCGTTTTGACACGATTTTCGACAAGTTTGCGAGATTTGTGAGAATTCAGAGGCAATTAGTTTTACTTCATTTGTGACGGAAACATAAATCTCAAAAACAGGAAGAAGAAAAAACCGGCTTTTCTCGGAGCACACCCAGGGAGAAACTTTCTGACCTTATTCTGGCAATGTTTATAATTAGCGCCGTGAATGCTAATACACAACATGCTAATTCACAAAAGGCAATTCTGAATTAACGAAATATACACATTTCCCGGTGCAAATCCGCACAAATTTG